TGCAGTCTTTGTAGGTTTTTCAGTGCGTCTGGACGAAACCGGTCTCTAAAGTCAGCAAAGTCAGAGTGAAATTTAAACACCGATCCAGTGCAATCCTACAGATTTTAGTTCACTCATAGCAGAAGTTTGATCGAGTTACTTATAGATTATGGAGATAAAACAGAGAACGTAGGTAACCCGTGGAACGATTCGATGGCTCACATACTTCTTAGAGAATCAAGGTCCTCAAGAGTTTGGTGGTCAGATACTGGTCCTGCAAGAACAGATCCGCCGGTCCCTGCCGCTCCGGCTGTCCTGCTTGGTGCCTCTGACGTGGTCTGCTGCTCCGTGTCCTCGGTTCCTTGCAGGTCCTGCTGCTGCCGTTGCTGGTCCTGTTGTCTGTGGTCCCTGTTGGTCCTGCTGCGTCCTGCTGTGCCGTCGGTACCTGCTGGTCCTTTGCTGCGCTCCTGGTGGTCCTGTGCTAGGCCCTGCGTGCTGTGCCTTTGGAGTCTGCGTCCTGCGTCTGCGGCTCCTGGCTGCTGCTCTGGCTGTCGGGTCCTCCGATCTTCTGCCGGTCGTGCACTGACACCGGTCTGCCTGCTCTGGTGTCTTGTCTCTGCGGTCCTGCTGGTCCTATGCTTGGGGTACCTGCCGTTGTGTCCTGGCTGTGGTTTCCGCTGGTTCTGTTGGTCTTCCTGCTCGGTCAGCCTGCTGGCTTTTCCTGTCTTGGTTACTGTTGACATTCTGCTGGTACTGCTGGTCCTGTCGGTCCGCTGCTCCTGCTGTCCTGCCGGTCCTGCTGTCTTCGCTTATGGTCTCTTGATGGCTGTGGGGGAGCTCGGTAGGAAGGTCATGCGGTTGAGGGTTTTCTTCATGATTGATTGAAGGTGTGTTCTGTTTGTTCTGAAGAGTTTACCGCCAGCAGAGCCCGGAGTATCGTGCTTACTTCTTCACTAGAGATTGCGCACCAGTCCCACACCTTCACACCGCACCTTACCTCAACAGTGACGCCTCACACCTTGCTGGTCTGTTACTGGCTCCCACTTCCGAGGGTACATTCAGATGCTTTCAGTACCTACTTTAGACTTGATACTTGTGTCAATAGTTTTTTTTTTATACCATGTTTTAGCTGCATCATGATAATAAAATGAGACCAAATGAGGAAAGTTATAGCATGAAACAGAACCATTGGTCAAATTTACAGTGCACTCACTCACACGTGTGCAAACATTGTACATCTGCTATTGTCGTTACTTTACATTTATAAGATACGTGATTGATCACCCACACTATTTGTTTTGAGTGGTAATGAAAGCCACTTCAACATTTACTATCTATTATTTATATTTAATTGATAGTTATTTTTGTTACGGCAGCAGAGATCTGGTGTTTCTCTGCAGGATCACATGAAACACTCAGTCTCCATACAGTCTGAGTTTTTCTCGTGTGGGCTATTCGTCGGCTTTCACAGTTGCGTATTCTGTATGGACAGATAATTGGGACTTGTTTCGTGTTTTGTTGTAGGCTAAACGGATACCTGCACCTACTCTGCGTCAACGGCGCATGAGGAACGAACAAGACCCAGACACGAACCGCGACCTGCAAGACTATCAGAACAGCCTGAACAGCTCACGCGCTGCTGCGAAACTCCTAACAGAGAGTTTGATGAGACATGCTTTCTTGTCTCTTGAAGCTAAGATGATGACGGGCTGTGAACGCCAGGCGGACACAGCACTCGTGAGACAAGACGCAGCCTGAGGCACCATATGGTGATCCCACCCAGGGGTTCACCACGTACCGCCACCGGTGACCCTGCTGGTCAGCTGAGTTAAACTACTAGTAGTAAAACATCATCTCATAAAGCCCAGCTGATCCTCTGTGCGAGTCACAGTATCGCCATAAAAAACGCAAATAAATCTGTAAAAAGAGTTATAGATCAATAAATGTGGAATATACAGAGAAAGCAAATCGAACCTAAAATAAAAACATTTGCACAAGACATATGATATAGTTATAATATCAATAATGATAGATATATCTTCATCGTTTTTACTGTATCTGTTATTGGCTTTGAGCTTTTGACGAGTTGTTTTCATAATAAGATTCGAAACATCATATGAAAATTGCGTGTCCGCTTATTACTCGATGTGTTTTGTCGTCAAAGGTGACATTTGAAGGAACGTGATGAAAGCTAACAAGTTAGCCTGCTACAGGGTTTGACGACGAATGTCAACCAGTTATCGCATCTGGTTAACTCAAAGACACACTGACATGGACAATGGCAATAAGGGATCATGGGACGCGGAGACTCGTGGTGGGTGTTGATTCGCGCTGCTAGCCACGTGTTCGTATTGATAGGAGTGTAATGCTCACAGAAAAAGCCTCAGCGTGTTGCAGGTGTGTCGAGCTATCCAGGTTTCCTATAACATTGTCAAAGACTCTGTTACTTGGATCAACGGTATTAAAACAGCTGAGCTGTGAACCGGTCACCATGCGTAGTTATGTATGTGTGCTTTAAGCTAACTAAGTTTCCGGGTTCGACTTCCACAACAATCCAGACTGTCTTTCCTGTCCTCTCGTGCAGCGTCCGTTCATAAGTTGTTGCAAATGGGAATAGTCAGATTGGTTCTGAAGCTGACGAAGAAACGGTCTGAGTTGGTATACGCTGTATAAATAGTTATCCAGCAGCAATACCTCTTGTAGTGTCTTCTTAGCATATACCTCATCAGTATACTACGTACACTATATTAGCCTGTAGTCTTATCTGTACGCTGATAGAACTGTTGCATGTTGACATTAGTGACACAGTTCCACATCATAGCGACAGGCAACAGGCCACAAAGGACAGAATTTTTAGTCTATCCCTTAATACGAATATCTTATCACAATGTGATCATGTTCAGTTAAAAATAACAAAGTGATTCCTTACAGTGAAACTACCATTAGTTGAAGAACGACGCTGCACAGTAACTCCTCACAGACCCAGCAGAGGCGACGACAGACCATCAGAGTAGAAAAGCCTCTGAAGACAGACAGCTGAACATCCCACGACATCAAATCATCCTGTTCTGAGCTGAACACAGGTGCAGGAAGATTCAAGTTCGATAATCAACGAAGGTCCAGAACATTATTATTATGCGATAATAATATAACTATTAGTAATACACTTATAGAGTAGTTAACTATACACTGGATTCCTGGATGCAGTAAAAATGTGATGCTCTTCCTGGCTTTGCAATTGCGATTAACAATAATGTTTTTACTCTTTATTTATTTATATTTCATCACTTCAGCATACTGAATGTTACATTTTCGTACGTCTAATGGATACATTTCTATGCTTGATGACACCCAGTATATTATATTCGTCTACACAGCGCACGGATCCTAGCCGGCCCTCCTTGACTCTGGCCTTTTCGACATTAAGTCCTCCACATACACACAAAACTATGTAACTTTCCCAACATATATCAAATGTGGTTTATTAACATATATATTTAAGCGCTTTTAAATGGCTCCGCCCCCCGTTTTATTCCTCTGATTTTTGACATAGCTTGTGCTATCAGGGTTGTGAACTCTCTCCTCGAGTCAAGAATCAGACGCTGTGACTCTTTAACCTCACTGTTAAAATTCTTCTTCTTTCAACACACACTTACTCTTTGTCTCAGCTCTGGCTAGACGTTCTGATACCGTGTTTCATTTGATATTGTTTTTTTATATTTACATCTTTTACTGTCAGATCTTTTTCATAAAGATGATTATGAGATGCTTTTTCATGTTGCTACAGGTGCTGTATGGACTTTTCTTTATCTGGTATTCTACATTGTTGTAACTCTATTAAAGAAAAGTTCATTAAATAAAGTTATGATCATTCATTATGATCTCACATCGAGAACGCCACTGATTCAAAGCCTTGTTACCGTGTTGTTCTTGTTGCCTCAGAAACCTCGGCACAGAGTCACAGACAGGTAACAGGAACACAAAATGGTGCCAACACCAGAGAACAATCAAAGACACCCACCTCCAGAGATTTCATCATCAAGCCCTGAGGCGACAGCAGCTTGAAATACTTTCCTCCCACACATTCTGACATTCAAAACAGTCTCTCATGTTGAGTTTACCACAGGAGGAGGGAGGCAGCTCATTGAACTGCTGTACGGATCAGATAAAACCTGATCAGACGGCATCAGTAAAGATGGAGGACTTCGGTTGACTATGTTATATTAGAACAGACAATTTATCACAACTTTTCTCCAATGATGAGTTTTACCATATTATTCAATGAATCTAATTGGTTCTATAGTCATGTTTAAAACCGTGTTAAAACTATATTATAAAACAGAGAATCTGTCGCACCTGAATCCACGAACACTTATCACTTCTGATCCCTGTGACTCATATCGGAGAGGATAGAACCTGACTTATAGTCGCTCCCACGCAGAAGAAACACACTCATGTGACCTCCAATAAACAAATGCGTGTGAGTTCCACCATCCGCAGTGACTTTGATTCACAGTGGACAGTAATGAGAACTGACCGATAGAAAAACAGTAGAGCACAGTTTTGTATCACGCTGCGTCTGGACCAGTAGATCTGGAGCGTCGAATCAGCAACCTACACTACACCTAGTGCTACTCATACTGACACAGAACAACCACTATAGAAACACAGCAAGCTGCTCAGGCTGCTCTGGCTGGGTTCGCGTCATCTACACCTTGCAGCAACATGCTTCAACAAGCTCCAACTGCCTTTTAGCCCACCAGAGAGAGAAAGCAACAGCAACGAGCTCCTGTCATCAACCTCATTGAAGAATACAGACAACACTCAGGCTTATCATTACCAATTACTGTACTGGAACATTTATTCAACCACACAAGAGTTCCTTAGAATTATTATTATTACATTTTCACACAACCTTTATCATCAATGAGACTGTTAACACGTCTGACACAACAGCTGGCTGCCTTCTGCGTTGCTGAGACAAACACATGATTATCACGCATACGCATCTCGTGCAGGAAATAAAGCAGCTGTAACCAACAGAACAGATCCTGAAACTCCTCTGACAGAATCCTGACTTCATTTCCCAGAGTCACCTGGTCCCTGAACTCATGAACTCCTGACCTTCTCCTCTTCCTCTCCTCCTCTTCCTCTCCTCCTCTTCCTCTCCTCCTCTTCCTCTCAGGAAAAAGAAACAGGGGCACTAGTGTGAGGTGGGGGGGGGGTCACAAAGGTCAAACTCCTTTTCTCCTGAAGGTTCAGAGTCTTTGAGCAGCTTCATGATCAGAGCGGAGGAAAGGAGCTTCACTGCTTCCTTCCTTATCTCCTTTAGGAAACAGAAATGCCGTCCCACAATTCCTTGCTGCAGCAACATTTAAAGTGACGCTGCAGCTTCACCTGAGCTGAGCCTCTTAAATCAACACAGGAGTCAGAAACAGGAAATACATACAAACCAAATGAACCAGGAGTGATGTCAGTGAGACCACACCTTCCAGGTAGAGTCCTGCTCCAGGTGTGGACAGGTTCACTTGTTGTCATGGGAACAGAATGTCTCTGTATGCGTCTCTTCATTTCCACCAGTGGATCAGTCACAGAGCAGAAGCTTCTCTCTGATGGAGTTTGTTCATCTGAACTTTATGTCTCTGTTTCCTTTAGACTCTGATTCTTTTCTTCTTCATGGATCAGAGAGAAACAGGAAACAGGAAGCAGATCTGAGACTCTTCAGACCTGCTGAGGATCAGCTGCTCTATCAGCAGGTTCATATGAAGGCTGCTCTGTGTCGTCTACGTTACCTATAGATCATAAAACCAACAACAACAACAACAAGCAGAGCAGCAACTGACAGACCGACTCCCAGTCCAACATGTCCGCTGCTGTTTCCCTCCTTGTCTCCTCCCTCCTCGTCTCCTCTCTCCTCTGTGATACCTGCAGAGAGAAACAGGTGTGAGGTGTCAGCTGTCAGGTAGGTGATGAGACAGACATTATCTACTGAACTTTGATCACATGACTCAGACCAGCTGTTCTCTACAAAGTCTCATCAACAACATCTGGAGAAAACACAAACATCTGGTCTGTGATGGTTCACTCTCACATCAACAACCACGAAGCAGCTGCACCAGGACTCACCGGAGACTGACTCACCTGAGACTGACTTACCTGAGACTGACTCTACTGACTCACCTGAGTCTGAATCACCTGAGATTGACTTACCTGAGACTGACTCACCTGAGTTTGACTCACTTGAGACTGACTCTATTGACTCACCTGAGACTGACTCTACTGACTCACCTGAGATTGACTCTACTGACTCACCAGAGACTGACTCACCTGAGATTGACTCACCTGAGACTGACTCCACTGACTCACCTGAGACTGACTCACCTGAGACTGACTCACCTGAGACTGACTCACCTGAGACTGACTCACCTGAGACTGACTCACCTGAGATTGACTCTACTGACTCACCAGAGACTGACTCACCTGAGATTGACTCACCTGAGATTGACTCTACTGACTCACCAGAGACTGACTCACCTGAGATTGACTCACCTGAGACTGACTCCACTGACTCACCTGAGACTGACTCACCTGAGACTGACTCCACTGACTCACCTGAGATTGTAATGACTCACCTGAGACTGACTCACCTTTCTGATGAACATCCAGGTAGATGATGCTGACGGGCTCAGGTAAGGAGTTTGCTTCTGTCTGGACTCGACACTCGTATCTTCCTGTGTCGTCTCTCGTCACGTCCTTCAGAGTCAGAGACACGTCCCCGTCCTTCATCTGTCTGTCCCTCAGCTCCACCCGGTTCTGAAAAGACGGACTCTGGTTCTGTGGATCAGGATTCTTGTCCCGGTACAGAAACACCTGTTCTGGCTCGGGCTCAGCTCTGCTCCACTCTACAACTGTGATGTTTGTGTCTCTGGCAGCTCGACATGGCAGAGAGACAGTCTGTCCAGGTGCAGCTGTGACGTTTACTGGGATTAAAGGAGAGAAAACAGAGCAGCCAATCAGAGCGAGCGCCCACCGGTCTCGACCGACACACACAAGACGAATAAGAAGTGATGTCTCTCGAGTCGTGTCGATCGGGGCTGAGGACTACAGGTGAGACCCGTTCAGTCTTCACCTGCAGTGAGGAGCAGGTGGGACAGGAAGCCGTGGTGATAACTGACCATCAGCCTCTTGTCTTCGTACAGACACCTGTCCCTCGCTCTCTACCTGAACATCAGTTCAGTCAACACAGGAGTCACAAACATGAAATACACACAAACCAAATGAACCAGGAGGGATGTCAGTCTGACCACACCTCCCAGGTAGAGTCCTGCTCCAGGTGTGCACAGGTTCACTTGTACAAACTCACCTGAGTCTACAACCTTCAGGGTGATGGTGCTGATGAGCTGAGGACGACTTCCTTTTTTTCCAACTTGACACTCGTATCTTGCAGCGTCGTTGATGGTGACGTTCTTCAGAATTACAGAGACGTCTCCGTCCTTCACCTGTGGATCTGTCAGCTCCACTCGACCACGATAAGATGGAAGCTGGTATTGTTCATAAAGGCGTTTGTCTCTGTAGAGGAAGACGTAATCCTCTGACTTCAGGTCAGGTCTGATCCACGTTATCAGTTTGATTTCAGCATCTCTGGGACCTCGACACTGAAGAGTGACGTCTTCTCCAGGTTTCACCTTCGTCTCTTCACCTGAATCACAAGAAAAAGTCCAGAGAGAAACAGGAAGTAAAAGTCAGTGACCCAGTTCTTTATCAAATACTTTTATTTTGAAGGTTCACCACAGAACCTCCATGATCTGAGCTAACTGGTGATGGTGGTGATGATGATGATGATGATGATGATAATGAAGAAACTTAACAACCTGTAAAAACATGAACTCCAGATGTGCTGCAAAGATCTGAGCTGCAGTTGATCTGTTTACACACATTTGTAGTCACATGACCTGATGAGATCAGAGATCAGCTGTGGGACCCAAACACCTCTGTAGTTTCACATGAGGAAAACAGAGACACCTGGGGACAAAGGTTTTCATTGGCTTGTTCTCTTGTAACTGTCTGAGACGTTTATTTTGTATGTTTTATATGATTTAATGAGAAATTCCTGATAATTTAACTCATAAGGTCGTTAAGAAGATGCAATAAACAGGATGTTAAAATGGAAACATTGATAAACAGCGGTTTAAAAGAAGGACTGAGGTTCAGTCCTGCCTGCAGCCGCCTGGGTTTGAATCAAGCCGTTTCCTGCAGGTGATCATCTCCCTCCCCAGCTCTCCTGTCTCTCTCTCACTGCCCCTGTCTATTTAAATATGGCCAAAGCACAACTTTAAAGAGATGAAGGAGTAGATCTGCCATTTGATTTTACTTGGTGTCAGACTGAGAAGAAATGTTCAGTAAACACAGCTGGTCCTCAGAGTGACATGTGGCCTTCAGCACATTAAACATAAAGCAGTGAACTTTATACACAGTTTATGGTTATGGATGAATGAGAAGTTACTGAGCAGATGAAACATCTCCCTGGATGATCGTTAGTGTTGTTTCAGTGCTTGCTAATGAATTCAGACATGGGTCAGATTTGACCACCTGGTTGTAAGTAGTGTGGAACAACCAGGGCTGAGCGGGAAAGATCTGATCCACCGTCACAGGCCTGAAGCACCAAGTGCAGCTGCCGCCGCCGCTAACCAGGAAGAGACGGTAACTCCGCCATCACACGAGGCAGCGCCCCTGTCCCACTACACCTGAACGCACCGTGACACCAGGAGCCTAAAGCTCGTCCTCAGTGACCCATCTGATCCCAGACCAGGACCTGGTCTTCCTCTCTGACATAAACCTCTGAAACACACTTGATGTTCGCTTTGATATCGACTGGAACAAGAGGAAGTGAAGCTCCGCCATGTTCAGAGACTCCGTCACGCACAGAGACTGATACGGGTCTTTACAGTAACTTCCCCACAAGCTCAACTACTTTCTCTTTCCTCCATATATCCGCTCACACACTGCTTACCTGACACACATGGCAGGAGACAGGTGAGGAGACACACACAGACGGTCAGCACTGAAGAAAACATCTTCTTCTTCTGCTGGTTAATAACCGCCAGCTTCCTGGAGAATCGATGAAGGCAGTGTGAAGCAGCTGAAAGGCAGTAAGTGGACTGTGACCGAAGACAACCGCGGGACAATGTTCTGTGGGCAGCTCCCTTTGACTCTGACGCCACGCCCACCTGTGACACAGCTGAGGGAGGAGTCACGTGATTTACAAGAAAACAGCAGGGAGCTCTGCTCGTATGAAGCACCTGAACTGATTGGACACAGAACAAAACAGCAGCTGAAGATCCAGACTGGAAACAGGAAGCAGGAAGCATCACTGCAGACTCCACACATACTCACACAACCTGTTCCCGCTGCTGCCAGAGGGGAGGAGCTTCATCTCTCACCTCTGAACCTGATGTTCATTTCTCTGTGAATCTCAGAGCGACGCTACAATGTGACGTTCTTTGCTCAGACTCTGATGCCACGCCCACCTGTGACACAGCTGAGGGAGGAGTCACGTGATTTACAAGAATATGAAAAGGACTGAACCTGAAAGGACAGAGTGATGTAGGTGAGCAGCAGCTGAAGATCCAGACTGGCTGCAACATGAAGCTGCAGATGTGACAGATGTTTTTACCTGCTTCATCAGAGCGGAGTAGGGTTTCACCTTTTATCTGATGTGATGTGGTGACGTGATTTTGTGAGAATTTAAAAAGCCAATACACATTCCTTTATGTGCTTATGATCCAAAATGACTGAATATCAAGGGTAACAAGAGATGTAGCCTGATGCTGATTCACAGGTTTAGAGAAGACGGGATGACACGCACGTTTCAAATTCATGTCTTTAAGAAAGAAAGCATCACAGATATGTAGATTTTAATATTTTATCCTTGAGGCCAAAGGGAAGTCCTCCTGCACTCTGAACAGCACTTCTGGCTGCACCTGTCTGCTGCTTCTGGAGACCCCTGGGCGTCTTGTCAGTACATGACTCCATAGGAACAAAAGTGAATCCAAATATGGTCAGAGAGGAGGGGCGCATGTTGTTCATGCCAGCTTGTAGCAAGCTCTCACCCACCTGTCACTCAAAGAGGCCACGCCCTCAATCCTCCATAACTGTAGTCCTTAATAAAATATAAACAGGTGAGTTATACAAACAGGTGAGTTATATAAACAGGTGAGTTCTATAAACAGGTGAGTTATATAAACAGGTGTCATGAAGGAGGAAATTAGCTCTAGAGACCAAAACAGTTTCTGTACCAGGCTGTAAACATGTTTATTTCTGCTGTAAAGTTGGACATTTTAACATGGGAGTCTATGGGGACTGACTCACTGTTGGAGCCAGACTCTAGTGGTCGTTAGAGGAACTGCAGCTTCTGGTTCTTCATGTTGATGATTCATGTTTCAGTCTGGAGGTTGTGGTTGGTTTAAACCAGCAGGTGTCAGCAGAGAGTCAGTCCTCAGCCAGCAGGATAACACTGATCCATACAGTAATATCTATTTAATAAATAACAGCAGATTAACTGATGACCAGACCTGCAGGCCAACAAACCAGGGACCAAACTGACTGTGAGAGTTTTACACCCCCCCCCTTTTTAACAGTAGTACAGATTATATGATTATATATAAAATCAAATTCAAATGTATTTCTATGGAATCTTCTAATACAAAAGTAGGAGTTACAGTTAAGTTGAAGGAATGTTGCTGCTATCCAGTGGTTGATTTCCTCCAAGCAGCTGACCAGGGAGTTTATGGGTTGGGGTCATCAGTGTATAATGAGATGAGAAGCTGAGTGTCATTGACATAATTATAGTATAGCTAATGTTATCATTGTTGATAACATAGTCAAGGGGAAGCATGTATAAGTTAAAAGGAAGGGGCCCCAGGATCGAGCCCTGAAGGACCCCACACACTAGATCATATTTGTTGGAGTGAAGGCTCCAAGTGTGACAGTAAGAACAACACCAGACGGACCCGCCCAGTGTCCAACAGTATCCCATGATCCACTGTGTGGAATAACAAACTGAGGTCTGAGAGTATTAGGACTGAGGTTTTAGCTGGACATCAACAGTGGGACCATGAATGTCTGTGACTGACTGACCTGAAATAACGAGCGATGACCAGAATGAAAAAACACATGATAAATTAAGTATAGTGTCCGTTTTAACAGGATGAATACTTTTTTTATTCCTCTTTGATTTCTTGATCAGTTGCAGTTCATGAAACTCAGCACTTCATCCAGATTCTTCAGACTAAAAGTCTAAGAATAAAATAAAGGCCAAAAGATTTTTAATGTGAAAAATCTAGAGGAAGTTGTAAATTTATACATTTTAAAACAGCATTGGGACTGGAAATGATGAATACATGTAAATAGAGCAGTAAGTTGACTGATGAATTCAGTTATTCATTTATTATCAGCCTGGTTAAATAATGGCATCAGACACTGAGAATCTATGGTAAAGCACTTTCACAGCCACCGAGGGATCGGCCCTCTGGTGGTCAGAGACACACCGTCAGGACAGGCAAACCAGGAAAACCAGGCAAACCAGGCAAACCAGGCAAACCATTGGGGCCCATGAGGAGAAGGCAATGACTCTATAAAGCCACTTAAACCTCCATAAAGACACTATCACACTGAGGGAACAGCTGTAAAGTGTGTACTGATACTCTGCATGTGAGACGTTGAGGGGACATCTGTAAATTGTAGTATCTCCCCACATCATCACACACATGAACAGACAGGAAGGAGGTGGGATCAGCTGCTGTGACCAAACCAAGTGTTGAGCTCATTTTAGCAGGTGGAACAATGGACCTCACATCTCTGCAGAGGCTGTTCTGTGAGTACACACTGTTTCATTCCCATCATTTTATTTACAGCTGAGTTGTAAATGAGTGTATGATGTCATCAAATGACATTTAAATTATACTGATCAGCATCGAGACGAATCTACAGAGTGAAACATAGAAATTCATATTTCAACTGTTTAAATATGAACCAGCTTCTTAAACAAGAAAATATGAGATAAAAGATTCTTCATCATGTTTCATATCAACTAATCATCAACAAATTAACTGTGACTTTAAGTGATGTGAACAAGCTTCAACAACATCGTCATCAGGAATAAAAGAAAATAACATCTGAACGTACAGTAAACGAGTGTTTTCATTCAGATGGCTGTAGTTTTAAATTTATCTTGAACAGGAGGAGGATGAAGTTAGAAGTTAGGTTATATAGCAGATAATATTCAGAAGTTCATCAACATCACTGATGATCGGTCAGATCTGTTGCAGAGTCAGAACAGAGTGAAGGAAACCTCATTGATCCACTGACGTTTGAATTTACTGAAATCAACTGTTTAAATCATTAAATTAAAGACACGTTTGTTCATTTCAAACCTCGACGAAGCAACTGAATATATTTTCTATCCTGCTGATCTGAAACAACGTAGTTGTGTTGTTGTTATCATCATGACTCATTATATTATCGTCTTATCTCTGAGTTCTGTGACTGTTTGAATGCAGTGTAGAGGAGGAGGTTTCCCTTTGTGTTCATGTTTAACTTCACAGTAACTGAGTGTCCCGTCTGTAGGTCTGACTTCGCTGCTCTGCTGCACCACGAACGCAGGTCAGTCCACTTCCTGTTTCTCTTTTCTGAGTCTCAATA